CCATTCACGAAACAACGCTCCTCTCAACCCTTTGGAGCCTCGCCGCTAAAGGAACCTGATATACAAACCATATCAAGAAGAAGTGTTAGGCTTACGCCTAGTGAGTTCAAAACGTGAGCAACTGAATCAGTAAACCACTATGCATATAAAAAAATGTATATAAATGCATGACATAAATTTTAAACGGTACAAGTGGACATGAAAGTTCTGATTTACCCGGGGTGGAGTCAAACATCCGAAGATGACGGGGGAGACCCGATTTACCGTTGACTATGACGGAACACAAAGTAAGTCATAAATCAACGTTATAGAGCATCACTTACAGGATCAATACCATCGACATCAACCAAACCGGTCATGTAGTCGGTTGTGATCTAAGCTTTTTATCTCGGAAATTACACAATAATCGCAATGCCTATTTCCGAGTGGGCGTGAGAAGGTGATTTGGAATTTACATAATGATCACAATGTCTAATTCCAACTTACACCAACCTTCACACAAAACAAATAAAACGACTATGCACACCTTTAGGTTTAATATAATACAGTACGGTACTTAAATACGGTGCCAAAAGCATCTTAGTGCTCACTTATCCGGATGATTCCGTGTATATCCTAGGTCAAGTGAGATATCCCCTACTTGCCAATAAGAACTCCAAAATAAGGGTATGAGTGCTTTAGAGCTAAAAGGCCATCAACACAACAACAATGGGTATTTTAACAAGTGATTGAACCCTCTAATACAACTCAATCTAATATCAATTACAGAGTTTACCTAATTCAACCTTTTGACCCAAAACCTTCATTTCAACTAAGTAGGTAAATGCATGAAGTTTAAGCATAAGGTAATTAAAGTGTTTTGTATCTACAACATAAGGTCTCAGTTAGGGAAATTAAGTTGAACTCACCTTGAATGGTTTAAAGAGAGGAAGCCAAAGTCTGGAACTAATAGGCAGGCAAGAGGAGACTCGAAAGTGGCAGGATTGCAGAAAGATGAAACAACACAGTAGCGATTACAGATGTTGTGGATGTTTACAGTTGTTTGCGGTCTGCTATTGTAGTATGGCAACACACCGCGACAGCTGTTGTTTGGCCAGGTAACGAAGAAACAGGACAGCAGGGGCTGCTGCTTGCTGTCCACAGTTTTGATGCTCGCAACGGTACGGCGGCGCCTGCTGAATCGGGCCTGGGAAATAAAGAGAAACAGCACAGCAGACTTGCTGCTTGCTGTTTGAAATGCACAGCTGGTAAAACACAGCAGCAGCTGTGTGCGGGCAGACAACGGAGGACACAGGACAGCAGCGACAGCTGCTTGCTGTCCGTTGCGCGGCGGCGAGGAAACGACTGTTGTTTGGGCGAACGGAGGTGGAGAGACAACACGGCAAAGCCGCTGTCTGCTGTTGCTGTCAAATGTAAGGCGAGGAAACAAGGAGCACACAGAAGAGCTGCTGTTTTGGGCGAGCGAAGGCGGAGAAACAGCACGGCAAAATAGCATGGCAAGTCGCTGCCTGCTGGTTGATTCGAAAAGGACGTAGCAGTCCTGATCCTTACTGTTGTTGGCTGCTGGATTCAAGGGTTGGGAACAGATGGAGTGAAGATGGTGTGGGTTGAGAGCATGGTGTAGACGTGGCTGAACAATCCTTGAAGTTGTTGATCCTTTCAAAGGGCATAAGAAAACCAGGAAGAGACCACAATACCTCCCCCCCCTTTTTCGAACGGCTGCCGATAGAAGCTCTCTCTCCCACCTTCTTCTTTTTTTCCTTTCCTGCTCCCTCTTCAAAAATGGGTTTCTCCTTTACTTCCCTGGTAAAGCCTTTATCCCTCAAACTACTAACCCCAACCAGCCTCTAAAAAAAAAAGAGGTAGCAAGTGAGGGGATCTAATGGTCACCAACTATATACAGGAGGTAATACCCCCCCCCCCATTTTAAAAGGCCAAATAAAACATAAAGGGAAAATATTAGGTGTTACAATCCTCCCTACCTTGGATTGAATTTCGTCCTCGAAATTTATTTCAAACGAAAAGGCGGGGGTAACGCCTCTTCAAATCCTCTTTCGCTTCCCAAGTCACGTTTGATCCTCAGTGATGCCTCCACTGAACCTTAACCATGACAACTTGTTTACGCCTCAACACTTTGGTCTTCTTTTCTAAAATGGCTTCTGGTTCTTCAATGCACCGGTTGTTCTCGTCCACAAGAATTTCTGAAAGTGGTATTACACTTTGTTCCTCCGCTAAGCACGTACAAAGGTAGCACACATGGAAAGTGTTGTGGATTCCAGCCATTTTCGGTGGTAGTTCTAGTTTATAAGCTTGCAGTCCCACTCTAGCCAAAACTTTAAACGGTCCGAGGAAATGGGGGCTGAGTTTTCCACGCTTCCCAAAATGGATAATGCCCTTCCAAGGAGATACTTTTAGCATAACGCGGTCACCCACTTGGAATTCTATAGGTCGGCCCCTTTTATCTGCATAACTCTTTTGTCGATTCTAAGCCGCCTTTAAGCGTTCCCGAATACACTTCACCTTTTCGGCTGTTTCCGGCACAATTTCGGGACCGGCGAATTGTTTCTCACCCGCTTCTAGCCAACATACCGGAGTTCTACATTTTCGTCCGTATAAAGCCTCAAAAGGTGCCATCCCGATACTGGAATGGTAACTATTGTTGTAGGCGAATTCCACTAGGGTTAGGTGAGAATCCCAATTCTCGCCAAAGTCGATAACACACGATCGAAGCATGTCCTCAAGGGTTTGAATGGTTCGCTCGCTCTGACCATTTGTTTGAGGATGATAAGTTGTACTCAACTTCACTCTTGTGCCCAACTCTTTCTGCAAGTCGCCCCAGAAATGGGAGGTGAATCGGCTATCCCTATCTAACACTATTGACAAAGGTATACCATGCCTCGAAACTACTTCATCGATGTATAATCTGGCAAGTTTTTCCATTGGCAACGATTCTCGCATTGCTAAGAAGTGAGCACTCTTTCTCAGTCGATCGACCACTACCCAAATCGTGTCATGGCCTCTGAGAGTCTTCGGTAGCTTGGTCACGAAGTCCATGGTAATATGCTCCCACTTCCATTCGGGAATCTCCAAGGATTGAAGACTACCATAAGGTCGTTGGTGCTCCGCCTTCACTTGCAAACAAGTCACGCATCTCTCTACATAACGAGCCACATCCAACTTCATAACAGGCCACCAATACGTCAACTACAACTCCCGATACATCTTGGTGCTACCCGGATGAATGGAGTATTTGGACTTGTGCGCATCTTCTAGCAACAGTTCGCGATTGCCTCCAATCTTGGGACCCAAATACGTCCTTGAAACAACTTCAAGCCACGACCATCCTCTGTCAACAGTAAGCGTTGTTTCATCATTACTTCACTCTTGAGGTTCTCTTCTAGGAGTGCTTCAAATTGCGCCACCTTGATCTGGTCAATCAGACTGGACACTGTATCGATCCTGGTAAGCACAGCTTTTGTCCCACTACCATAATCCTTCTGGCTCAAAACATCCGCCACTACATTTGCCTTACCCGGATGGTATAGCAATTCACAATCGTAGTCATTGAGCAGCTCAAGCCAACGACGTTGCCTCATGTTTAAATCTTTTTGATCGAAAATGTACTTCAAACTCTTATGATCAGTGTAAAGCGTGCACTTGGTTCCATAGAGGTAATGTCGTCAAAGTTTTAAAGCGAATACCACTGCTGCCAGCTCCAAGTCGTGGGTGGGATAATTCTTCTCGTGATCTTTGAGTTGTCTGGATGCGTATGCTATTACTTTTCCCCTTTGCATCAAGACACAACCCAAACCCATTTTAGAAGCGTCGCTAAAAACTACGAAGTCTTCGGACCCTTTTGGCAAGGAGAGAATTGGGGCCTCACATAATTTCCTTTGGAGGGTTCTGAAGGCATGTTCTTGCTTCTCAGTCCAGCTAAACTTCACATTCTTCCTAGTCAATGCCGTTAAGGAAGAAGCGACCTTGGAGAAATCTTGGATAAATCTCCTGTAATAACCTGCCAGACCCAAGAAACTTCGGATCTCTGATGGACTCTTTGGCAGTTCCCAATTCATTACCGCCTCGATTTTGGATGGGTCCACCTTCACTCCATCTTGAGTGACTACGTGACTCAAGAATTGAACCTCTTTTAGCCAAAAATCGCACTTGGAGAACTTTGCATACAACTTCTCCCTCCTTAACATTTCGAGGACTACCCGAAGATGTTGCTCATGATCCGTCTCGTTCTTGGAATAAATGAGTATGTCATCAATGAACTCTATTACTGACTCGTCGAGGAACGGCCGGCACACTCGGTTCATCAAGTCCATGAATATTGTCGGCGCATTCGTCAATCCGAAGGGCATAACCAAGAATTCATAGTGTCCATATCGCGTCCTAAAAGCTGTCTTTGCCACATCATCTTCTTTTACTCGTACCTGGTGATATCCTGAACGAAGATCGATCTTTGAGAAGCAACTCGCTCCCTGAATTTGGTCAAAAAGATCGTCGATTCTAGGGAGAGGATATTTGTTCTTCACGGTTACTTTATTGAGTTCACGATAGTCTATACACATTCTCATGGTGTCGTCCTTCTTCTTAACAAATAGGACTGGAGCTCCCCACGGTGACGAACTGGGTCTAACGAACCCTTTCTCAAGAAGATCTTGCAACTGAGACATTAACTCCTGCATCTCGGATGGAGCCAAACGGTAAGGGGCTCTAGCAAGCGGAGCGGTTCCCGGAATAAGGTCGATTCGAAATTCTATTTGTCTAACGGGTGGTAAACCGGGTAAATCTTCAGGGAATAAGTCAGGAAATTCATTAACCACCTTCACATCTTCAATTCTTCTTTTCTCTGGTTTGGTATCTAACACATATGCAATGAACGAGGAGCATCCCTTAGCTAGACACTTATGTGCTTTTGCCGTGGATAAGAGTGCTACATTACTTTTCCTTCCTTCTCCGTAAACTAGCATTGCGTCCCCGTCTGGCAAAGGGATTCAGATCAACTTTTTAGAGCATATCTCCGCTTGGTTCCCTGCCAACCAATCCATCCCAATTATGACATCGAACCCGCCTATAGCCATGGGTATGAGGTCTACCCAAAATTCCTTTCCCTCAATTCCCAACACGCAACTCCTAATGATCTCGCGCACCAGAACTTGACTACCATTTGCTATCTCTATGATCAAAGCATCTTCTAGAGCACTAGGGGGCGTATGCAAAAGTTGGTGGAACATAGTGGACACAAAGGAACATGAAGCACCTGAATCAAACAGTACGTGTGCAAGTATGGAGTTAATAAGGAACGTACCCGACACCACATCCGTCGATGCCTTAGCTTCTTCAGCAGTCATCTGGAAGGCTCGTCCGGCTGCTTTCAAGGTACTTTCTTTTCTTCCCTGACCCCCTCCCGCTTTTAACTTCAGGTAATCGTTCTTGAAATGACCCGGCTCTCCACATCCAAAACAGATGGGTCCCTTGATCGGACACTCATTTCGTGTGTGGCCTGCCTTCCCATATTTAAAACACCTTGTGGGAGTAGGGTTGGTGAAACACGGGCCTTGATGTTTACTACGGCACTTGGAACACCATCTTGTCTCATGTTTAGGATAGGCTCCACGATTGTTACTGTTGGAATGGTTTGGCGTTTTGGAGGGTACAAAATGCCCTTCCCATTTCCTCTTCTCACCACCTGACATTCTCTCTTCCCTTCCTTTAACATAAACTGATTCCATGACTTTTGCCTCTTCGATTGCTTCCCTAAGGGTGGAGGCTCTGGACCATCACCATCATGTCCGCAGACAATCCTTTGAGGTAGGCTTTCATCCTTTCCTTCTCCGTTGGGGCTACGTGCCCCACCAAATTCAACTTTTCCATAAAAAGTCGCGTGTAATCTCTCACCGACAAATTTTCTTTCTTGAGGGTTCGAAATTCCTCTTCAATGCGGTCCATCTCTTGTTCGTCGCAAAATTCCTCCAACACCTTTTCTTTAAACGTGACCCAACTCATCTTGGCCAACTTCGTAGTCTCTAAGGTTGATATGACAATGTTCCACTAGGTAAGAGCTGCACCCCTTAGCATTTGAGAGCCAAATCTTGCTTTTTGTCCCTCATCACAGTCACAAGCCCGGAAGGCTTGTTCGATTTCTCGAAGCCAGTTCATGCATGCTACGGGATCATCTGACCCTACAAATTCCGGTGGTTTGCAACTCAGAAACGTCTTGTAGGAGCAAACCCTACCCACTTGTCTTGCCTCAGTCGTTGCTAACTCCTGGGTTGGAATTCCATTTCTGGTCCCCCAGATCCCACAATAGTCACGTTCTCGGCAACCGCTTCATGCTTACGGTTGTTAACGTCTCTATCCTCTAGTAACTTCATAAAGAACTCTAGTTATTGGGCCATGGCTCTATTCATAGCCTCCATCACTATGCCCATCATTCTGGACTCCGGGGTTTCCTCTTCCATAACGGGGTTAGAGACGACAAGATCAACTTGAGGAACATGGTCGATTCCACCACCCAAGGTGTTTTGCCTAGGATGGGCCCTAGCGGTGGTGGTTCGTGGCGGCTGATCCGCAGTAGATTCAGTCATCGCTTGACCTTCCGGTGACGTATCTCGTCTACTCCGAGTATTCACCATTTTAGTCTGCCAATCAAGAAAGCAAAAGGGACTTAGGATAGGGGAATACGGAATTAACATAACGCATACCATCACAAACGAACATCCTTGTAATAACAGTGAGTTCAAGCATGCTTACGTAACAACATACTCAAAATAGCATTAGCTAGGTGAAATTTTGAATAGGTTATACATAAGGATCCTCAACACCATCGTCACAATTCATGACTTAGGTACCTCCGATGATTCTAAAGTCCTCCTATCTTATAATTCTTACCCACCTCCCATGATGATACTTACTAACTCAGCTTAAGTCTAGGCGTCGAAATTCCTTACCTAGTTCGCTTAAACTAGCGCTCTAATACCAACTTGTAACACCCTAAGAAAAAGACATTTATAAAAAATATTTAACGAAAACTAGGACTTGATATAAAATTTACCCAACAATAGGGTAAAGTGTAGCGTTTACAAATCAACTACTGAGAAGATAAATAACAACCTACTAATCTAGATTATTCTATGTCTAGATTAAAGATGGGTGTTTCTATCAAACTCCAAAAATACCATGACATCAAAAGAATACAACGCCCAACAATATCAAAGGCTATAACTACAAAAGAGCCCTTCACGAAACAACGCTCCTCTCAACCCATTGGAGCCTCGCCGCTAAAGGAACCTAATATACAAGCCATATCAAGAAGAAGTGTTAGGCTTACGCCTAGTGAGTTCAAAACATGAGCAACTGAATCAGTAAACCACTATGCATATAAAAAAATGTATATAAATGCATGACGTAAATTTTAAACGGTACAAGTGGACATGAAAGTTCTGATTTACCCGGGGTGGAGTCAAACATCTGAAGATGACGGGGGAGACCCGATTTACCGTTGACTATGACGAAACACAAAGTAAGTCATAAATCAACGTTATAAAGCATCACTTACAGGATCGATACCATCGACATCAACCAAACCGGTCATGTAGTCGGTTGTGATCTAAGCTCTTTATCTCGGAAATTACACAATAATCGAAATGCCTATTTCCGAGTGGGCGTGAGAAGGTGATTTGGAATTTACATAATGATCACAATGTCTAATTCCAACTTACACCAACCTTCACACAAAACAAATAAAACGACTATGCACACCTTTAGGTTCAATATAATCCATTACAGTACTTAAATACGGTGCCAAAAGCATCTTAGTGCTCACTTATCCGGATGATTCCGTGTATATCCTAGCTCAAGTGAGATATTCCCTACTTGCCAATAAGAACTCCAAACTAAGGGTATGAGTGCTTTAGAGCTAAAAGGCCATCAACACAACAACAATGGGTATTTTACCAAGTGATTGAACCCTCTAATCCAACTCAATCTAATATCAATTACAGAGTTTACCTAATTCAACCTTTTGACCCAAAACCTTCATTTCAACTAAGTAGGTAAATGTATGAAGTTTAAGCATAAGGTAATTAAGGTGTTTCGTATCTACAACATGTGGTCTCAATTAGGGAATTAAGTTGAACTCACCTTGAATGGTTTAAAGAGAGGAAGCCAAAGTGTGGAACTAATAGGCAGACAAGAGGAGACTCGAAAGTGGCAAGATTGCAGAAAGATGAAACAGCACAGTAGCGATTACAGATGTTGTGGCTGTTTACAGTTGTTTGCGGTCTGCTGTTGTAGTATGGCGACACACCACAACAACTGTTGTTCGGCCAGGTAACGAAGAAACAGGACAGCAGGGGCTGCTGCTTGCTGTCCACAGTTTTGATGCTCGCAACAGTACGACAGCGCCTGCTGAATCGGACCTGGGAAAAAAAAAAAAAAAACAGCACAGCAGACTTGCTGCTTGCTGTTTGAAATGCACAGCTGGTAAAACACAGCAGCAGCTGTGTGCGGGCAGACAACAGAGGACACAGGACAGCATCGACAGCTGCTTGCTGTCCGTTGCGCGGCGGCGAGGAAACGACTGCTGTTTGGGTGAACGGAGGCGGAGAGACAGCACGGCAAAGCCGCTGTCTGCTGTTGCTGTCAAATGTAAGGCAAGGAAACAAGGAGCACGCAGCAGAGCTGCTATTTTAGGCGAGCGGAGGCGGAGAAACAGCACAGCAAAATAGCACGGCAAGCCGCTACCTGCTGGTTGATTCGAAAAGGATGTAGCAGTCCTGATCCTTACTGTTGCTGGCTGCTGGATTCAAGGGTTGGGAACAGATGGAGTGAAGATGGTATGGGTTGAAAGCATGGTGCAGACGTGGCCGAACAATCCTTGAAGCTGTTGATCATTTCAAAGGCATCAGAAAACCAGGAAGAGACCACAATACCTCCCCCCCTTTTTCGAACGGCGACCGATAGAAGCTCTCTCTCCCACCCTCTTCTTTTTTTTCCTTTCATGCTCCCTCTTCAATAATGGGTTTCTCCTTTACTTACCTGGTAAAGCCTTTATCCCTCAAACTACTAACCCCAACCATCCTCTCAAAAAAAAGTGGTAGCAAGTGAGGGGATCTAATGGTCACCAACTATATACAGGAGGTAATAACCCCCCCCCCCCATTTTAAAAGGCCAAATAAAACATAAAGGGAAAAAAATTAGGTGTTACAATATAGTCTAACTTATACTTCCTTGGATGGTCATTCAATCCAATAGTGTTATAGAGAGCTATTGTTGCAACAACCTTGTGTTATCCTGTAGCAATGTTCACTGCACTACGTTGCTGAAATCCAACCTGATCTTACATCCATACTATTTTTAATTATTGTTACATTTCAAAATTTGGTTAGCAACTCTCTCAAAGATATTTGCTCTCTGAAGCTTTATTGCTTCCAAAACCCCCGTTTTGAAATCTCATTTTAAAGTTAACTTTTGTGACTCTCTTTGCATTTTAAATCTCTGTGGAACGATATTCGATATTACTTACCATTATTACTTGCTTTGGACGATAATTGTAAGCCATGTATACTCGCATGATTTACTTGTTACTATAGCCTTCTGAAAGGTACAAAGAAATTTGTTGCCTATGAATGTCAAAGGGTTGGATCCATCTCCCAAATACATGAAATGCCCTTAAATGACATTCTTGAAGTTGAACTCTTTGATGTATGGGGGATAGACTTTATGGGACCATTTCTCATGTCTGGAAATTATTAGTATATTTTGGTAGCCGTAGATTATGTATCCAAATGAGTAGAAGTTGTAGCATGTCACACCAATGATGCAAAGGCAGTGGTCAAATTTTTGCATAAGCGTATTTTTGCAAGATTTGGTACTCCTAGAGCCATGATTAGTGATGAGGATATCTATTCTATTAACAAAATGATGAAAGGAGTTCTTAAAAACTACAACATAAGCCATAGGGTTGCTACTGCATTCCACCCTCAAACAAATGGCTTTGTTGAACTTTCAAACAGGAGATCCAGAATATCTTAGAAAAAGTGGTAAAACCAACAAGGAATGATTGGTCCTTCAAACTTGATGATGCTTTTTGGGCCTATAGGACTGCCTATAAAAAACCCCCACTGGAATGTCTCCCTACAAGCTAGTCTTTAGAAAAGCTTGCCACATATTACTAGAACTTGAGCACAAAGCTTTTTGAGCTTTAAAAGAGCTTAATATGTGTGTAAATGTTGCAGGTGAAAGAAGAAGGCTACAAATCAAAAAGCTTGAAGAGCTGAGGGATCAAGCATATGAGAATACCAAGATTTACAAAGATAAAACTAAAAAATGGCATATGATAAGAGGATCTCTCAAAGAGATTTTGTAGCAGGTCAAAATGTATTACTCTTTAACTCAAGGTTGAAACTTTTTCCAGGAAAACTAAGATCCAAGTGGACATGGCCATTTAAGGTTAAGTCCATCATCATGGAGTAGTGGAACTCATTGACCCAACAATGGATCCATTTTCAAAGTAAATGGTCAAATAATGAAGTCCTATAATGATACCTCAGAAATCACAGGTACCACACCTGTGGTACACCTCACTCATTCCTAGAATTTGATGTTGAAGGCTGTCACAACCATTAAACAATATACATATGTAAATACAATATTTTATTATTGAAGGTTTGGTTAGTTCTATGTTCTTTTAGAATAACAAAAATTTTATGAAAAAGGTACAGTTGCTATA